CCCAACAAGATTCCGTGCAAAAACAAAAGCACAATTGTGACTTCCAGGCAAAACAGGCGGCCGTGCTCCCAACCTCCGCCCCGGCAGGAGGCACCGAGCGGGGCCAGCGGGGCTGGGGGGGCCCATGGATGGAGCCCCATGGAGATCACGGGGCTGTGGGGTGTGGGGAGGAGCCCGTCTCGCCTCTCTCTGCATCCCCTCCAGCTGTAATTAAAGCTGCTCCCATTTAAGCCTCTTGAACTGGTCCCAGTCTGCTCCTCCGTCATCGCTGCTGCTCCCCTGCAGACTGCTCTGACCCCACAAGCAGTAGGGCTGACATCACTCCTCTTTTTTTCCTCTATTTCCTCTCCCAGAAGGGACTGAAGAACCCCTCTGGGTTTTTGGGATGTGTGCAGATGCTGCTCCAGCATTGCCTTTCCCCAGAACCCTATGGGCTCTGTAGGGCTGGAGGTCAGCACTGCTACAACCCTACAGAGTCCTGGTGCTCCCCAATGGGGCTCAGTTCCCCTATAGCCCTCTGGGCTCTGTAGGGCTGCAGATCAGCATCCCTAAGATGCTATGGGATCTGTAGGGCTGAAAAGCAACACCCCCGTGACCCTATAGGCTCTGTAGGGTTGCAGGTCAGCACCCAGGTAACCCTATGGGCTCTGTAGGGCTGAGGAGCAGCACTCCTAGAACCCTGTGGGCTCTGTACGACTGGGGATCATCATTTGCCCAGCGTTGCCAAAGGGCCCAACCACTTCCCTTTGCTGCAGGCAGCACCCAGCCCAGCTCTGCCCTCCTGCAGCAGGGTGGCACGCGTTGCACGGGAGCAAAGAGCAAAGCACAGCAGTGGTGTGTGTGAGGGGGGGGGCTCAGTACTTACAGGCTGCGTGCCAACGCTGTCATTGTCACCGTGGGGCTGCCCTTCCCTTTGGGGTCCATCTCGTGCTCTCGGCGGCGCCTGCAAGGAGAGGAGAGGAGGGCTGAGTGAAAGCATTCACCTCCTGCACGCTGCCACCCCCCACACCGAGGCTGGAAACCACGGCGTGGTGACATGGCCAAGGAAGGGGATGCTGTGGGGAGGGGGGTCTCTCACCCAAAGCATCTCCACTGCCTCCCCTACATCCCAACACCCAGAGCAAAGCCGAGCCGTGGCCAAGGAGCGCAGGGCTGAGCTTCCCCTGGGCAGAGGTGGGGTGAGGCTGAGCTTTGCTCCTGGCACATGGAGCAGGAAACGCTGCTGTGCTGCCAGATTGGAATCGCTGTTGGAATCAGCCCTGCTCACAGAGCCTCAGCCCTGCAGCTTGTGGCTACAGGGCTCTGCTTATCCAAAGGGAATGCCCCAAGGATTTCCAGCCCCGCTCACACCCCTCGTTGGCCAGGGGAAAGGCCTAAAATGAGCAAAAAGAGCATTTCTGCAAACTGCATCCCCTGTCCCACCAAGCTGGGGCTTCCCCAGAATTAATTCCCTATGTCCACACCGTGGGGCCCATCTGGATCCCATTTCCCAGCCACACCATACTCCATGGCTTGGGGCTCATCCCACCCCAATACTGCAGGATTTCAGGGCTTCACCACGTGGTTTATAAATATTTAAGCCCAGAAGGATTGCTGCCCTCCAGGGAAAGCCTTACACAACCCCCACATCTCCCCCTTCACCCCAGCCTGGAGCTGGCGGGGCTCTCTGGAGGCATCTTTTGCAACCAGGAAGCAAAGCAAGGCAACACGCAAGGTCCTTCTGCAGGATTTTTGCACCCCATAGTGGTGGGGCGTTGCCTGATGGGTTTGGTGCTGCTGCATGGATTTTGCATCCCGTAGCTGGGAGGTTTTGTTGATGCGCACGTCCTGCTGCCTCCCCCCTGCCCCAAATTTGTGGGCATTTATAGGCACAGCTTTTTGTGCAGCACTCAGTTTCCCCCCCCTCAGCATTAGGAGTCACTGACGCCTCGTGCAGAAGCTGTTAAGAGCTTCTATTTGGGGAAAGCTCCCCTTCTCACAACACGTCCTGTGGCTTCTCTGCTTCCCATTCCTCCTCACACAGTGCAAAATAAATCGGCGACGTCGCCAGCGAAAAACCCCCCAGCAAACAGCCTTGAGGAGTCCATTCTTGGGGTGCATTTGGGGGTGTTGCTGCAGTTTGCAGGGGTTGAAACCCTGCAAGAAGGGTTCCCATGCCCCATCCCAAATCTGCTGCATCAACTCATGTTGGTTGCATCCCAAACGCACCCCCAGGAGCGTGGCTCAGGGCCTGGGGGGGCTGCACATTTCCATATTAAAAACAAATAGAAGAAAATCAGAAAGGAAGGAGCCTGTTCCTAAGCAACAGCCTCTGGTAGAGATGGAGACCATGAAGTGGAGACCGTGAGATGGAGACCGTGAGATGGAGACTGTGAGATGGAGATCATGGAATGGAGATCATGAGGAGGAGATAATAGGATGGAGACATAAAATTGAGACCATGAGATGGAGATCATGAGATGGAGACCATAGGATGCAGATTATGAGATGGAGATCATGAGATGGAGTCCATAGAATGGAAACCATGAGATGGAGATCACGAGATGGAGACCATAGGGTGGAGAACATAAAATGGAGACCCTCAGATGGACGCCGAAAGGTGGAGGCCATAAAAAGAAGACCGTGAGATGGGGACCATAAAATGGAGACCATGGGATGAGGAGCAGAGGTGCCACAAAGCACAGCTGGAGCAAACTCCTGGGCTCACAGAGCCCCACAGCAGGGATGCAGGAGAGTGGGGAGACTCCAAAGCCACCCCTCACCTCCACCGCTCGCCCCAGCCCACCCACCCACCTCCAACCCCACTGTGCTGACCCCAAAGAGTGGAGGAAACCCATTGGGTTGGCCGAGACTCGTCGCCTCTATTGGAGCCAAGCTTGGATGGACAGGCAGACGGATGGGTGGGTGGACAGATAGTTGGAAGGACAGACGGACGGGCAGCAGTTACCTGTGTGTATCCAGGCGCTGGCTGTGCCCCGGCTCTCCCAGCAGCGCGCTGCCCCGTCCCGATAGGGATCATTTTTATAGGCTCACCCATGTGATCCCAACAAATGCCCCAGGGATGAGGTTTTTTTTTTGCACTGACACAACCGGAGGGGCCGGCGCTCAAACAAACCTGTTGGACCGCAATCCGCGCTGGGCACCGGGCAGGAATTTTCCACTCTCTGGGTGCGCCGACGCACGATGCACGCCGGGGCCTGCGCTCACACGGCTCCCTGAAAGAAAAAGCAGGGAGAAAAATGCAAACTTTCCCATTCCCCAGCACTCCTAATGGTTGCTCGACCTCATTCCTAAGTTTCTGTGTTGAAGTTGGAGCGCGTAAGGGGGAGAAATGCACGGAGGAATGCGTTAGAGGCATGGAGTAGACACAAGTTTTGCACTGTGTGCCTTTTCAGCACAGCGCAGAATGCTCCTTCTGCAAAGTGCGTGCTGCTTCTGCAGAGACAGCACAGCAGATGGTGCTCAGAGTGAGAGATGTGAGCAACCCTTTGCCCCCCCCAAGCTCTCCCTGCAGCCTTTGTGCCCAAATCCAAGGGTGTGGATGGGGGCGATGGTGGGGATGCTCTCGGTGGTGTTGATGGTGCGGCGCTGGGCAGAAGGGAGGCATGGACCTGGCTGGGCTGTGATAAGTGCCCAAGGGTGACAGGATGGGAATGGAAAGGGTGAGCTTGGGAGAAGTGCTGGTGAGTCAATGGGAACCACAGGAGCAGGGAAATGACCACTGTCAGCAGGGCTGAGTCAGTGGGACCAACTGGTGAGTCAATGGGAAAGCAGGGAGCTAATGGAACGATGGGCTGCAGGTTGTGTGGGGCACACAGAGGGGCAGGAGGAGGGGGTAGGGGTGACCCGCCGTGGAGTTTTGCACTCCTGGAGCACTGCTGGGTCGCTGAGCCCTGCGTGGGGCTGGATAATGTGCCATCTGTAGGGTTTGCTCGTGTTCCAGCTGTTCTGGGGTTGGTTCTGTGGGGTTCCAGCCTCTGCAGGCTGCCCCAGGTGGTGCTGTGCTGGCACAGCCCTGGGGTCGGTGCTGCCAAGGGGCCGGGCAGCGGGGCTGGGGCTGCGCCAGGCTCTGGGAGCAGACACACAGTGGGACACAGAGCGGTAGGTGGGAGGGCAGGGGGGTTGGGGGGCTTTCCCTGGTGTGTTGGGGGGCAGCTGCAGGGGTTCTGTGCACCCTGAGAGCAGTACATTGGGGTCACCGTGTGGTCATGGTGCTGAGTGCCTGGTGCTGTGCTGGAAGGGGTTGGGGTGGGCTCACGGCAGCACCCATTGGGTCCAGCAGAGTGGATTTGGGTGGGGGTGGCAGCAGATTTGGGGGCTGTCTGCTGAGAAGGGAGCAAACGGCTGGGAAGGGGGGAGCCGGGAAGAGCAGGGGGGCTCTCAGCAGGACTGTGGGTACCCAGCACTGGTTTTGGGGACGTCCTGGAGCATTTCCCTAAGGAAGACCCATAGCTGAGCCCATCAAAACAGCGTGAACCCCAGTGGCAGCCAGGTTAAAGCTGCCAGGGGAAGGGTTGAGCCAATTTGGTGCAGTTTGAGTCTATTGGTGCAAGGGTTAATGGTGTCTCCGCTGGGGGTTGGGACCCCTGTAACTCATCTGCTCACAGACAAGGAGGGGACGGCTCACACCCCACATCCGGGCTGTGCTCCCCTTCTCTTTGGGCCGCAGAGAGCAAACGAGCTGGGGGGCTGAAGAGCTGCACACAGCTGAGTCTGAAATGGGGATATTTATAGCTGTCCCTGCCTGGCTGCCCTAAATTCCACGCAGGTCCCTGTGCATGGGGAGCAGAGGGGCCCCCCCAGCCCTGAGACATTTGTAGGGTTCCCCCCCCCACCCTGGCTGAGTCAGGGCTGCTCCTTCCTCACCCCGTCACCCCTCAGCCTCAGGGCTTTCCCACGAGCGTCACCCAGCAGGGCTGCGTGTTTGGGTTCACTGTCATCCCTTCAGGGCTGTAATCAGCATTAGGGCACCCACGAGGCATCAGGACACACCTCCCCCTTCCTGCAAAGGTGCAGCGCCAAAGAGAAGCGTGGGGAGGGCAGAGGGGTGAAAACACTCAGCTGGGGACAGGTGACACCTCGGTGGCCCACGCAAAGTCCCATAGGAGTGTGGGTGGGAGCCACACCTGAGGCTTGCACAATGCATATATATATATCGTGCTGGCGTGCTGCTTAAAGCAGCAATTTTCCCTTCATCCTGAGTGCGAAAGGCTGAGCCTGAAGCCGTGGGTGGGTTGCAGCAGAATGGAGCGTGCAAGCGGTGGTGCAAGCTGGTTGCACGAGGATCCACGCTGCTGGTGCAGCTGCAGAGCTGCTGGTGCAGGGGAACGAGCTCCTGCCTTGCGGCTGCCAAATGCATGCACTTAATATAGGTCAAATGCAAACGTTCTTCCCAAAATAGAAGCTCTCTTCCCTGGGAAGAGCTGCAGCTCAGTGCAGTCACAAGGGCTCTGCCAGGTGCTGCAAAGGGAGCTGGTGTGCAAGCGTGGGGCTGCTGCCACCAAGGTCACCTCCTCCTGCAAACATGGCTGTGCGTGGTGCATCCTCCCCAAAATGTGCTTTGGCTACTGGAGAGGAGCTTGGGGATGGGGTGAGGGATGGGGTGAGCACACTTGTGCTCTGGATGGGGTGGAGAGATGGGTGACCCCCTCGTCAAGCCACGCATCTTGCTTGCAAAACCCACTGTGAAAGCAGTGCTGGCTTGTGCATCATGCAAGCGGGCCGGGATGAGGGGCCCTGCATGGGCTTGGAGCAGCGTGGGGTGCTGCAGGGTGCAACGTGCTCCTGCTGCAGAGCTGAGGCCCCCACAGGGCTGCGTCTCCATGGGCTGATGCCAGGCTGGGGGCTGCACCCCCCTGGCTGTGCTCCTGTGCTGCTCTGCTGAAGCAGAAGTGCTGCTGTGGGTGTGCGCTGCTGCTCGGTTCGCACTGCGCTGTGCCCTCTTGGGATGCACAAAGCACAGCAAACTGCTTCAGAGCACAGAAAGCGACCTCACAGTGTTGTGCGTCCACCCCGTGATCCCAGAAAGGTTTCCTGTGAAGGCTGCAGTGACCCAAACCGTGGGTTTGGCTGTTGAACTCGCTCAGGGGAGGTGTTCTACCATCAGAAACCCTAAACCCTCCCAACCCTTACACGGAGCCTTTGTGCTGCACACAAAGCACTGCAAGTGGGTTGGTGGCAGCAAAGTGGGGCAGCCCTATGGCCACGCCTGTGGAGCTGGAAATGGGGCTGGAAATGGGGCTGGAAATGGGGCTGGAAATGGGG